GGATCCGGCAGTATCTTCCAGTCTATTCGGATCAGATCTGTCAGGTAGAACTAAATCAGACGTAGTGCTTGTCCGCGCTGTGAAAAAGGGACCGGTAAGAAAACAATCTGCGCTGTGATACCGCAGTATCTTCCAGTCTATTCGGATCAGATCTGTCAGGTAGAACTAAATCAGACGTAGTGCTTGTCCGCGCTGTGAAAAATGGGACCGGTAAGCTCCGCCCGCTCCTCGCAGAAGCGCCTGAGTTCTTATTGTACGCACAGCTTCTAGGTACAGTCTCGGGTCGGCGTCCCTCTCAAACCGAAACCCAGCATAACTTCGTTCAGGATCCTAGCATCACTTCTTTCGTGGTACCTTAGCTTCGAGGGAATACTTGATGCCACTTCTGTGTCAACTAGGGATGGCTTGTTCTTTGAAGTTCAGATAAGGGTAATCCAAAGAGAATGGGTATACCGGTTGGATCTACCCCAGCTGATGCGAAATTACTTAAATCCTAGGAACTGAAAATGAAGTCCGTAGATCACAGTATGCAGGCAGAAAATTCACTCCGAAATCCCACAGTCCAATCGCTTCCCTCCACTCAGTTAATTCCCATTGTCCTCATCCTTCATCATTGTTGAACGAACCTTAGCGACTTGAAACCATATGTGCCGAGGGAATCTGTCAAACGTGCCTCCCGACGTTTCACCACATTTGCCGTCCCGTGGAGTCAGTGAATTATGGGGCTGGCTCTGTTTCACCTTGTGTTCCGACCAACCAGTTGTTAGTATTTGTGTTTCTCCCCAGTGGGTGGTCACGGCATTACTGGTTGCACGATCGTCCCTGTTGCTGGTTACCTTCCGGGTGTCGTCTTTCATCGTGCCGCTTTTGAAGATCGTTCGGCTTGGAGATCATATTAGTGATCTACATTTAATAGATTTCTTCCCGTCAATGAAGCCAATTTGAGCTTAGAAGCCGAGAAGCACTGTAAAGCTGTTCCATCCTAATTGGGAATCAAATCTCCTCAAACCACTATTGATCTGTTTTTATTGTCGCTCGGTAACCTATGTTATCATGATACTGTAGATTTTTGAGTCCATTTTGTTTTGACCTGACTAAAACCAATCGCTCAGTACGGGTAAAAATTTTCGAATTCCCAGTATGATTAGCGGTGTGCAGTTTCCATGGGCAAGAACAGGTAAATGAAGACCGCCGTGGTTTTAATTTTTTTTGGAAAAAAAGTGTATTTACAAAAACATCGATAAGTACGCAGATAAAATGCAGGAAACGGGATGGACACAGCGAAACCGAGCTGACACGAAAATGCTGTACTCTGATTACCAGTCAATAACAATAAAAGTCAACGCTGCTTACAGTGGAGAAAGGGACTGGAACGAAAGTCCATTTTTGGAGGACTATTTCAGACTATCACGAGTGTGCGACCAGAAGGGTTGTTCTCCCATGGTCAATTTTGGCATGTGGTTGTAGTGTGACTGGAAATAAAACGAAACGAATGACTATAAAAACAGGTGAAACAAATAAATGACAGAAAATGCTCACGCAGAACACAATGCGGCGGTCTGGGAAAGCGACACCCATGACAAGTTGTGTCCGATTTAGCTGTGCTAGTGAAAAACTATCTTGATTTATGGAATCTTTGGGCGATGTTTGTTGCATTGAAATAATACGTTCAGGGTCCATAACGTCTTCGTTAAAGCGAACGTTTGCGTTGTGCTCACAATACTTGAGGCACAGGATTCCCCACTCCTAAGTAGGACAAAAGAAGATCGGCTTTAAACGTGGGGGGTTTCTGTGTATGTCCTCCGCGAAAACCGATGCCGAGGATTCACCTTAGTCTGTTGCCTCCACATAACAGAGCCATTTCCACCAGTGAGAGGTGAGAAGTAGTACAGTGCAACAACCTTGTTGACAGACTATGAGTAGAGCTTGAAGTTTATGGTTCTCAATGGCTATCGGGCACTTATCTTCCCGTCTACGCACCTGATCTATGTACCTAAGAGAGTGACGGTGACCACTCAGGCGACCGATAAACTAGGTACTCTGAAAAGTCCCCTTCTAAAGGCGGTGCTTCATGACGAGCGTTCCTTGCTAGGATTTCCATGCGTTCAACCGAAATAGTGGGCATTCATGGCAATGAATCACCTTTCGGACGAACTGTACGCTCCCTGCATAATCACCTTCATTCCTAAAAGCGGGTGAAAAAATTTTCACCAACAGAAAACGAGGGCTGCGACCTGTGTACGTGACAGTGGGGAGGGAATAAGTCTCTAAGAACGAGTCACTGGGTTGGGAATCGCCTGTGAGTGATAAGTACGTAGGCCAAACACTAAATGGCATGAACGAAGCAACATGATAAGGAGCACATAAAGGAACAGACATCAAGTAGCACCACTAAAACGAAGGAAAAATATGTCGCACAAAATACGGAAAAGCGGGGGAGGTGATTACAAACAAAACGAATGGTGATCTGACCTTGTGCAATAAAGTTATGCACCGAGATTAGTTAAAATAGCCAGTGTGGTGCCTCCTGTAAGGGCATGTATGGTACGGGTTCCACGAGCGCCGTTTAGAATCGTTAAGCACACCCCTAGAAGACTAAAGTCAGAAAAAGGTTAACACGATGAGAGTAGGAGGAATGCTGTAGAGAGGATATCATAGATAAGAACAAAACCGAGGTGTCCAAATACGCAGTGAAACAATTCAACACATTCGGAATGAGTCCACACTGCATGAAACAAACGACGCGGAGGTGAACAAGAAGCTAGCCCGCGACCGATTGCTTACTGATGTACTTTCCATCAGCTAGGTGAACTACATTAATGGGGATCACGTAGACTCACAGTTATGTATTTTCAATTTCCACGTAACTTGTGGCGTACTTAGGCGATTGATCCATTGGAACATTACGAAGTGTGCATGCAAGTCGTTCCAAAATCTATTGAACTCATCCACACCACTCACATTTGAACAGCCCTCTTGTCTTGGCGCGATTATTTTAGTTAGTCCACACGAAACAAAAGAAGCAACTTCACTCACCCACAGTGCTGGGACCTGAACCTCAAACGTTCTAGGCGTGCGCAATATCATTATTTCACCGGTATGGGTGTGGAGCAAAGCCACCAGATTAAGCAAAAACCTTTACTGGTTCAGGTCGCCCGGAGGGAACTGGTGAGATAATGGCAACAAATCAGGCTCAAATGGAGGCTGACCAGAGTTCGACTTCTTCAGAACCCACAGTAGAACAAAATCTAGCCTATTACATCTCTGTTGTGGATGAATGTGGACAATCTCACTGGGACGGGAGAGGGTGTCCCAATGTAAAGTTAAAGACAGCTCAGTGCGAAACTAAGATGTCCTGGGAGTATGAAATCGATGACGCGTAAAATAACACCTCTTTCCGTACATATCTATAGATTTTGCATTGAAAAATCGAAGCACCTAAGAAATACCGGGATGTTTCAACACGAAAAACCGTGGGTTGGAGTCCCAAAACGACACTTCTTTCCATCTCAAATTTTGAGGGACTTTCGCACGAGTATGGTCGTATTAATGACGGAAGATCTTTAGATAGCAGGGAGGATTTCTTCCGGTTTCAGTTTACCACAGAGATAGCTCAGTGGTTAAGACACTAGCTTACGGACCGGAAGGTCCATGGTTCGAACCCAACCTAAGCATCTCAACTGTTACCGTCCAGGCTTGGGCAACCTGGCAGTATCGCAGCCCTCTTGCCTCCTTCAGTTGGGACGGTAGCTACATACCGAAAGTGTGCTACAACTGAACTGTTTTTGTGTTCTGTTTTTACCACAGCGGCACTCCACACTTTTCAATAATTTGCGGTTCTCACAACCTACAGGGGTTTTAGCAATCCGCTAGTTCCGCTATCTGAAATCTCATTCTAATACGAGCCTTGAGCGGATACAACTTAGTAAAAACCAGGTAAGCACGATTTCACCATGACACGGCTCACTTTCAACGACGGTCTGGATGCCACTATCAAGTCCGCAGTACCAGTTCACATCGGCAGCTAGTCTTCAGGGTCTCGGCGAAATTAACAGACAACGTGGTCGGTGTATGGGGGGAATACATACTCACGGAGAATGGTTTCCCGGTCGTGAGGGCAACGCTAATGCCTACTGATAGCAACCGAATAATGGTATCGTCAGCAGTCATCCGCAAACAATGATATTGGTAGTTAGAGTAGTCCGATGGGAATCTTACTGCCAGGAGTTCCGTCACTTGGATACCTCCAAGGTGAGACAATACATGCCGTGCTGTAGTGATAAACATGGGCATATAGAGAATCAGTATCCGGAGTTGGGTCGCCCGAAATAAACCGACATTTATTTGACTGGAGGGGTCGGGTATGAAGCGGAAAAAGCATCCGAAAGTTACAATACTAACCAATCAGAGTCAAGACAGATTTTCCTCCATCGATCGGGAGTATACAAACATGAATCTGCGGGAAATTTCTTTGAATTCTGTCTACATTACAAGCTACCTCCAGCTACCTGCGTTTCGACGACATTAGGTTGGGATTCAAGGTGGAGGACTAGCCGAAAAAGGCAAGTTACCATATCCGCAATGCAGCAACCCATACTAACGTCTGATTGTCATTGCTAAATGAAATTACTGAAGTAGCAACGTCACCTAAAATACAAGCAGGCATTTATGGGTACAGTAATTAGTTGGTGTCACAAACTCACATCGTCATATGGCAGTCGTCGCTGGTCATCTAAGTACGAAGGACGTGTGTCAAATTGACTGTGCAAGCGGGGCGGGTACAGAAGTAGGTCACTCGTTGTAGAACTATAGCGGGAATGCATACATGAACTTGATGCTGAAACAACGTCCATTGGGTTAATCATACGGTCCTCACTCCAAGGCCCAGTAGTAGAGGAGTCGTGACGTAAGCCGAAGTGATCCATAGTAGCTACCCCTCTTACTCGGGGAAGATCGTAATCAGCCAGGTCGTATGGAGGCATCGATGCATGGGTGGGTTTCCTGTTGTAGACAGTGGAAGGACATGTGTCAGCCAAGGGTCCGAACTGGTGATTAAATCGTGAGTTTTGGGTGACAGGACCATAGCAGAGAGGTGCTTGTGTCTCACGCGGGTGGTGATCACTACGAGTGAGTTTTGCAGGGTATCCACCTGATATGTTTGGATGAGGACGGGGAATTTGGGGACTTGGGTTGCAAGTCTGACGGGATCTCAGAGACGGATTTGCAAACCTATCAGGTGTAGGGTTCTCTGACGGGTTCGAACGTTTTCGGGCTGAAAATGAAGGTAGAGAGACGTACGAAAGTGACGACTGGTGGTTGGGTCCGTGAACTTAACAAAATGTAATCGGGTAGCGTGTTATGAACCCGAAGTCTGCACCAGCTCCACTCCTGTATTGTGTATCAGTACGGTACTTTATGAGATGAAAACTCAAAGGTTACGGACTTATACAGATGCTCACTGGATAGACCTTATGATCTGTCCTGTCAGAAATGACTGTTACGGCAAAAGGATAGGCACTATTTTAGGCACTATGATAGACAAGCTGATTAAATGGCATATGGTAGCCACCAGGTGGGTTGACGAAGATGATTCGAGAACTGCGTGTCTATCACCTGCTCACCCTTTTCCGTATCCTTGTGCATCAAATTGACTAGTTGACTAGTCTCAGTCATCCTGTGAAAGGGATTGTATATGCGACAGGCCAGCACTGCGCCCAAAGGCTGCATGTTATGGCATCCGATATGGTAGGCCTGAGGCAACTTTCATTTGGTTAGAAGCGATCACCAACAAAACGCTATTCTTCTGACAAGCATGAGGCAAGTGTCTCGCATATCGAGAATTAAGTTTGCAACCCAGTCGGTTTTTGTTCATTTTTGGTGAGGCAGAGATGGATGTGCGATTGGAAGTGTTCAAAGGTCACTGATTGCGGCCTCAACCCATTCGACAGTGTCTCGTCATTCAGTCGCTGCAGCTAAATCAATTTGTTTGTTTCCGGAAGAGTTTGCGAGAAGAAAGCGGCGGGATGTTTTAAGTGACGGCTTCAGAAGCTAACTGTCTCGCCAAAAAAGCCAAGGTTGTGCGCCTCAACAAGGCAAGACGGAGCAACCTAAAGATCGGAAATCCTCTATCCAGAGGAAGGCACACCTTCCAGAGAATAAAGGAATACACCGAACATCAACCTGAAGAACAAGTAAGCAATCTTCATAGATGTAATATTTTCCCTGGAATATCGGCAGAACATTCCTAGTTGTCTTTTTCAAATTCACTTATATTCTCAACATCGCTAGGAAACAAGAAGTGCGTATTTCTGACAAACCCTGGTTTTGAGCACCGAAATTGGGGACATTTCAAGTGCGACCCAAGGATGTTCTCCAAAAAAGAGGTGCCGTTGATTTCGTTGGATACATCGCGACGTGCGATTGCAGCTAAAGTCTAGCAGCCAGAAAACAGGAAGGCATGCGCAAGAAACTTACAGTGGAGGTTCGCTTCACCCGTTGCAAAAGGTTGGGACACGTGCAAAGGCACGTTAGATGCCGAGGCGACAGCATTTACGGGAGAGGGATATGAGTTCAACTGACCGTGTTTAGACAACGCTGTGTTTGAGATAGTTTTGGGGCGATAGGTCGTCGTAGAACGTGGGCCTGGTTGGGTCACGACTGTAGATCGATTTGTGGAATCCGTCTGAGGTTGCGCGGAGTAAGATGCCATGGGATATTCAAGCACTGCACTACAGGAGTTCACAATTTGTGAATGAGGACGTGGTGAACCGATCAAACTGGAATCCTCATCCGATATGGTGATAGTGGCTGTGAAACACATAAAAGAATAGATGTCACGTCTCGCAGACCAACTCCTTAGTTTTCGGGGTGCAGATGAATACAATGAAAGACTACAGTGAACAAACGTTGGAACAGGAAGAGTCGACGAGTGAGACCAACCCAAGGTCTGACATCCTTTCCGACGGTTTTGCTTTCCACACCCTTCCTGATGCAATTGACTTTGAAAAGATAATGCAGCAGTCATGTGGCGCTGGGACCTCATTTGTACACGGATTCTCGTGTTATTTCATGGTAATTTCCAAAATATTCTGTTTCGCAGACGACAGGAACTGCAGCTGCTCTCGGAGCCGACGCATCCTGCTCCAGGGGAACGTCTCCTTGAAGTGACATATGAAGGTCGATCCCAATGTAAACTAATGAGTCTAGACAATGTGAACAGAATACATGTTTTCCACAGAAAACTAAAGATGCACATGAAAGACTTCTAGACGATACTAGCTGGCTGGCTCGCGTTGCTGACGTTCGAATGTAAATAGCTGCTAAAGTTCCTGAGGCGGGAAGGGAAGAACTTGAGCCCAACCCCAATACGACTGGCCATCGACTAAATGCCTAAAAGCACTTGAACTGCCGCACACATAAGCCGCACTTCCAGGTTCTCCAGTACGTCGGGAACGTCGTTTGCAATTTGATCGAACTAAATTGTCCTCAGTTTATATCTTGCATTATGCTTCTTCGGAAAGGAGGGTGACAACGACTTTATTGTTGAGTAGTTTCATTTCCAGTCAGATAAGCAACCTACAAAACCCGTTAAATTAACGTGATTAGATGTATCAACTACATGCACACCACCAAAAAAACTTACCGGTTGAGTGGCTTGCGCTGAAACTTATCACTGGAGGTCCCGTATCCTCATCATCTGAGCAAGTCAGATCGATAATCGGACCCTAACAAAGAGAGAGTGGAGAGCCAAAAGAATAAGAAAAACACGTCCAACGAAGAGGTAGAGAGTATTCCCTATTTTGAGAGGTTAGCGAGTTGGAACACTTCCGTATTGAATTGTTTTTGGCACAAAAATAGAGTTCGAATTCTAAATGTCCTGTTAATCAGATCAGTACAGTGCTCATACAGAGAGGCCCCATGTTTTTCAGGCGTGTCATCCTGTTAACAATCTGTAACAATGTCTTCAGAAACGGTGGCTAACTCATGGTGGCTTTGATTAACCAGGACAGTAACCAATCATAATCAGGTTTTGCCTATTCCTTGATGTCAGAAATTGCCCTATCCTGTCGTTCACCTACTTCATAAAGTCAGTGGAATCGATCATGAAATAGGTGAGAGAGAAAAAAAGAGGAATAAATAAGCACGTTACCAGCGGCACGACAAACTCGAAAACAGCAAGTACGGGTACCCAGATATAGCTCAATCAATGAAATATCAGGGACATCCCCGGACGGATTGCACAAGCCCGCAAGTGGACTAACGAAGCGACAGTAGTTTGACCAATCGGGTAAATGTCTAACGGAAATCGCTAACGCACTGAAAATTGCCGGCGCGATTAATGAAGAACACATGTAAGCAGCCAAAACAAAAAGTTCTGTCCAAACGTAAGGGATTAACTCCATAAATACTTAGAGAACAAGGGAACTGCCAGAATCCGGAGGCGAGTTGGCGTTTCGAATTCATCTCATTCCATCTTAATATGGTCTTAATGCTGTTTGAATCCTATACTGCATCCATAGAAAATTTACGACCTATCCGAGGTCTGGAAATTGCGGTTAGCTTAAGTTGTAATCAGTGATTATAATGACAGCAAGGTAACAGTGTTAATCACTGATGCTTCGCTTCCGTACACCCACAATTTATTTGAACGCCTTACTGTGAAAAGCGGATACGGAAGAGGAGTCGTGATAGCTTAACACAATCGTTACGAGGTGCCTACAGCTCTATCCATTCATTGAAGTAATCTGGATAAAGGATGTCAACCGCGCCATTCACATCGATTGGCAACCAAATCTTGCAGCATCTCGAACCAGACGGTGTGGATCAGGCTGCCCCCGACCTGTAAGGCGAGCCGAACTCACAGCACTCAAACCTTTCGTAAACAATTCCATATCCCTCTACCAGGTCAAAGGTTTGCCACTTCCCCGCTTGCGCCACTGTGAACTGGGCATGCAAAACAACACAATCTCGTCAAAACCATTCGGCGTGCGCAATACATTGATTAATCAGCGCAGTTTCTAGCACTGGACAAATGATTCGATTAACCTCCGGTTGCGCAACCGAACACTCCTTTTCGGATAGTATTTTACGGATTCAACGCCACAAACCTACATCAGCTATGGCTCCAAAACAACGCTTGCCGAAGTCCTGAAGATATCCCAGTTCTGCTCCAGCTCAATTGTTGCTGGTGTCTTTCGGTTTGGGTCTGATTAAATCAGTGAGATGTGATGGTGTGGCGGACTGACACTAAACCTTGGAGTCGTATCGCAGAGGCAGAGTGACCCATTGCTAGAGACGGTTGGCGGTATAGACCAGAACCCCATTCTTCGAGCTAACAACAGTAACGAGAATTGTGATCCGTCGGTAGGACTATGAGCCGTAGAGCTTTCTATGGAATATTTTTTGCTGGAAATATGGTCGCCAAAGCTTTCATTTTTATCTGACTGTAATTGCGGTCCGCCGGTATCGGGGGTCTGATTGCATCTGCAATTACTTTTTAACAGTTGTCCGGGAACACGTGCGAAAAAAACCGTTCGAAGCAGCCGACGCCACAAAGACTCAGTGACGGATCGTGGTAGGTTAGAACCAAATCACGACTCAGCGTGGATTTGACACAGTCAAAGGTGCATTGTTTTTATTCTGACCAATATCCACTTGTGGTCCCTGATGAGTGGCTGGTTCAGTTGGCCTCGAAAACAATGCATGGGAGGCAAAAACGAGATATAATGAGTGACCAGACTGAGTAAGAAACTGAGGGATGTCACGTCTGTGGGTGCTGGCATACGTTTGATGGTGTCGATGTTCTCCGGGTCTGGTTGGCGGCTGTGTTTGTCAATAATGAAACAGAAGTATTGGATCGACCGCATGAAGGAGGTGCATTTTTCTCGGTGCCATACTCTTGAGTACGACCAATTATGTAATCGAGGCGCCGCCACAATTCATAGGGGTTGGAACCCATGATGAAGAAATCGTCCAAACAGGCAGCACCGAATGACGGTCGAGTATACTGGAACAGACCGCGGTGCGTGTTGATGGTCAATAATTCTCTGGATTCTTTCTTGACTTCAGTCTGAATGTAAGCATCAGCCTAGCGGAACATTTATCCCCATTCAGTTTAGCGAACAAGTCATCTGGAAGGGGCAGAGGGTACTGATGGGTATCCAGTGCAACACTGAGGCAGGCGGGGAAGACTGCACGTTCAGCTGTAGCACTCTTTCGGCGCCTAGCTACCATACCACCAAAAGGAAGCACAAGGGCTAGGGTACTGACGTGTTGCCCAAGGCTAGACAGGAGAAGTCGAGAGGAAAAGGACGGACCTTCCGGTTAGTAAATTAGTGCTCTCACCACTGTACACAGGCGAATGGCCCTATTCTCTTCTTCACCAATGGGATCGATGCAGTCTATGCAGTGCAGTTGGTCCGTTGGAGAACACCAGCTTTCTATAGTCGGTCCAGTTCCTAGTCAACGATGGGTAAGGTTGCATATGGTACTGGGCATGTTGGCCTGAAAACTGATTCGGCCTAGCTTTTGATTTTGTGCATCGTCCAAGGCCGTCGGCGAATAGAGACGCATAGCGTTGTGGGAAATCCTCAAGTGAGCGCTTTAGGAGGTGAATTTGAACGAGGGCGCATGAGGGTACTGCTCGCTGGGTTGCAAATTGAAGCAGCCGGCTTTTTCTGCAGATTCGGCTTATCGATCCAATCCAGCCCCATGAGACCAAACTTTAGGCATGACGTCAGGTGGCACGTGGCTTGTGTCATCGAGCTATTGAAGCTTATGGAGCAGTCAACCTCGCCGACCGATGTCAGTTAACCAACAGAAGCATTACCCAATGTTCACGTGCGACATACCAATTCGTTTTCACAGCGTGATGTCGGGACCGTATCAAGCTGCAAACGGCCTGGGATGCTATTGACACGATCAGTCACCTGGGGGAGGCTTATTCTGTTTTCGACCGGGCTTGTCAGATTTTTCTTGGGACGATGGAGTTGATTGCGTGCGCACAACTGCTCGAAGTAACAGGTTTCAGGTTGATGAGGCGTTGACTTTTAGCGGTGGGGCTCTGCAACGTCATTTCAGCAACCTGTTTAATTCTGTGAAGTAGTCGGGTTCTGATGTCTGCATCATGAGACGACTGCAAACCGGATACAAAAATGAGGCACTTAAGCTGATTAACCGTCATTGAGCCGAGCTTAAAGTGCTCGCATTCCCGATTGACAACACCGGCAAACCTGATGAAATCGTCATAATCTTTCTTGAACAGTTTTAGGCATTGGTAGTAGATATTGAACACTGATCGCCAAATATCTGAGACAGTGTTCTGACCGTTTCACCGGAGCTGAGGTCACGGGGTAGCTTGGGGAGAACAAAGTTTGTGTACCGTTCCTGCTCCGGTGTGTCGGGTTTTCGCAGCAATAATCCAACTTTTCATCCGTTATAAAACTTGGAAAAATCAGTTTTGAACATGCCTTTGTACCGCTTGAACCAGGAGTTAACAGGTACTACCACAACTACATTCAAACCTACTACCAAACGCAACCGGAACGCACCGAATCTGTCAATAGGATACAGTGACAACACCGTCGGAGTCGCACATTGCTCTTACTACTGTCAGTTCCTTAGCTTCCAAAGTCCCAAACTCAGAGAAGGTTACGAAACAGTTGAATGAATGGAAAATATACTAAAAATACTCTTACAATTGTTACACCTTGTATTGCCAGAACTACACGCCTGGGTGGAATGTGTGCCGAGACAAACTGACAAATGGGTTGAAGGTATAGCACGTACAAGACACGGATTTCGTACAGATAACGTATAGGTGGACGGAGTAATTAGATTAACCATTGGTGAAAATAGTTCAGTGTACTCGAAACAGTTCGGCTACTTTTCAGCAAAAGACAATCATTCGGGGGCTCACTCATACATAGAAGCACTTTTTTTATCTCTGTAAGGTGGGATTGTCTACCCGCTAACGGGGTGGAGACGTATGTCAACCAAACAAATTTTCCAATACCGTTGGCAGTCCGTTTGATCACGATCATCCGGGTGAAGATGTCATCAACACGTGTAGATCATAACAGAACGGTGATTATTAGAATACATACTTTTTCTGCAGAGCCTTGTTGACACAGGTTTCGCGGGAGAATTTTCTTCGGACAGTTACAACTAAAAGTTTGATGAAGTACACTAGCAATATCAATATGAAATCCAATTGAACAACGACGGACTCACTGTATCACTGTGTTGTACAGTGTGTTTCTTCTCCATGCTTGGGGTGTTATCTGTTTTCAGGGGAGACGTTCTCAATAGGTTAGTATTATTCGATCGACCCGGAGAGCCAGTTGCTCCTCCGTGGGTTGAGGACGTCGCAGAACCAGTCGGTGATGAGGCAGTAAACGATACACCCAAGGTGGTAGTAGAGCATGAACCAACAGAATCAGGTTCTAAAGTTGAAACGACTGAATTGGGAGTAGGTAACATTCCCATTGGGCTATTACCACGGCCGGTAGGTTGGGACTCGGAGGAACGAATATCCTCTGGACACGAGGATTTTGGTACTCTGGAACTATTTTCTGACACAGACCAGGAGCCGTCTTCATGGAATACCACCTCATCCATGTCCTGGGTGCATTTAGAATTGAGGACTTCGAGGAATAGGCTGTGTAAAGGGGGGGGGGAGTAAGCAGAGAAGGGAAGTCAGTGTCCTCAGACGAAATAAGAATGGATCATGTGAGAAAGGCAGACAAAGAAAGCGACCTTTCACGCAGTGTGATATCCATGGAAAAGAACTAGCTATAGGACGTGTAACACTCAGCTGGAAATAATGAAAAGGTAGGTTTTCCTGCCTAGGAGTACGACTATAAAGAATATATATAT